CCAAAAATGAAGTTGAAGAGTTCAAGATCAAGAATTTGAAGCTAGAAGATGATTTGAAGAGCACCATCAAGTGGAAAATTTTTTTGGAAGTTTTTGTTCTATGTTGTGTTCTTTGTTTTAATATTTAAGATGTTGTAAAAGTTGGAAGTTTGTTGTTGTCAATGTTATGTTCTATGTTGTTTTGATTATTGTGTTATGTAATTTAGTTGTACCAGTTGAATGTTGAATGATAAAACAAAATTATTTTGTTATATGAATTATTCAAGTTGTTGTAAAAGTTGGAAGTTTGTAGTTGTCAATGTTATGTTCTATGTTGTGTTCATTATTGTGTTATGTAATTTAGTTGCACCAGTTGAATGTTGAATGATCAAACAAAATTATTGTGTTATGTAATTATATTCTATGTAATTATGTTCTATGAATGTTATATTAATATTTTAGCATTATTTTGTTACATTATTTAGTTGAACTAGTTGAATGTTGAATGATAAAACATAATTATAATTGCATGTTGAATGATAAACCTTGTCATAATAACAGACATTTGTTACATAAACTTGATAAACTTGTTAATAAACTTGATACTTGACACTTGTTACATAAACTTGTTCAAAATAACAGACACTTGTATAGCACCCCAAAATTTGCCCTTTTGTTTGAACCTTTACTGGCTTATGTTTCTTTGCATTTTTCATTTATGCATATCATAGCATTTGTTCTTGAGGCATGGGATTAAGGTGTTTCTGTGACTCAGGGTTCCCTTTTAGTGCAAGAGTTTAAACAATAAGCATCAGAGGCTCATACATTTATTTTGCCCATCGATCGAGCGGTCGATTTTATTTTATTCAACAGGTTAATTTTCAACTCAGGAGACAATACACATGTTATCTCAGGCGTTCTCACAGTTATGATATCTAAGGATAAGTTTCAGAGGCTTAACATAGCTTAGAACATTGGCAACATACAGTTGTATAGGATTCCCTCCACATGACGTTAATATGGACATTTTTGAATGTGGTAACCGGTTACTGCATATAGGGTAACTAGTTACTTCAAATGAAATTGACCAAAGATTTGAATTTTCAGCATATGCAATTTCCAATCATTCTCAACCATTAATTTCACATGATCATATTTGGAAGGATCTAGAATTGTTTCAATTTTCAGCAGAACCGATGTAAGAGATGTAATAGGTGTGTTTTTACATCGGTTGTCCAGCAGAATCGATGTAAAATGCGTGCTACATTTCTTCAAAAATTATGTTTTTACATCGGTTTCTAGGCGCACCCGATGTAAAATACAAGCTGTCTTTCTTAAAAATTTGAACTATTTTTTTATCATAATCGATGTGGAATCTCTGTAATGTTTTTGGTACCTAATTTTTCATATTTTTCCAACATCACACATACCACATTTTAGTCCCTATTTGGTATGCAATTTTTCATATTTTTTCAACCAACCTTTGAGTTTCATTGCACCAAATAGCTAGGATGCACATATTCTTCAGTATGAACAAATTGATTTACAAAAGTATCAATCTAGTATACACACAAGTGTACAAAATTATATGTATGTTTACACGGTGAACTAATACAACAACAAAACCAGTGAAAACATACAAAAATATTCAACCATTTATAAGTCATTTCCCACACTTATAGCTAGCTTTGGTAGACAACACAAAAATCACATAAATAATAATACCAATAAACATCAGTAGACAATACCAAAGTCAAGAAACTCAAATTAGATATATATAGACAATTCTATATAACTTACCAGATAAAGCTTAATTTTTATATAACTCAAAGAAACATTTTTCCCAACAGAGTCGCAAGTCATACAAATCGTCTTGTGTTAATTCAATTGGTTCATCAAATACCTAAAATACGTAAATAACAATATAAAGTTATTCTTTGAAAATTCACCCTAAGTTGCAAAATGCAAAGTAAATAACAAAGTAAAGTTATTTTTATTACCTGCAACCAAGACTCGGTTATGTTGGCAGAGACAATATCCAACATATTTTTCATGACATAGTATCCACAATTAATAGAGTTATGTTGTCGCCTTGTCTACAAATGAATGACACAATTAGTGAATACTTATGATAAAATTAAATGTAGAATTATAATTTACACCACGCTTACTTTGGATTGGAGCCATGTAGCCTGTTTTCTATTGCATTTTGCCATTTGATAAACCCCAAAAGCACTAATTCAGAAAAAAAATCCATATAAAGCCACATAAAATATGAAATTACTTTTGTAACAATTTATGTATATAGAATATAACATATATTATAACAAAAGTCACATAAAAGATAAACTTACTTTGTAACAATTTTCTTCATGGTTGGATTAAGTTCTCGATGAAGTGAACAAAATACGACCACAATATTGTCTCTTGGACAAATGACTATTAATTGCCAATGGTCTCTGTACGTGTGCGTGGAAACACAAAAGTCATATAAAATATATATGTTATCAAAAATAAAAAATAGAAAATACAATTTCATACAAACTTATCCATGAATAGATGGTAGTAAGTGACACACTCTCTTTTCGTCACGTATCTTATCTTGTATGTATTTTTTAACATCTGTTTCAGTTTTTAGCACATTATCAACATACACACAAACACCTAGCAGGGTCCATAAATTCATATACTTCTGATGTCGAGTTATCAATACATACACGATGAATATACCTGAATAATTTTAAAATAAATATTAGAATCAAAGTGATGAGAAATATAACATATTAATAGATATCAACAGTAATAAAAAAAACTTGCAGAATAAACACGTCAAGCAAATGAAAACCCACCAACAACTCTCAGATACACTTAGCTGACATATAAAAATTAGTGACACTCGCACAATGACTTAATTTTATTTCCAAGTGCGTGCCACCCATTTTCAGAACTATGAGTAACAATCTCTGAACATCGTCTTCCACTTCTTTTGTGTTTTCTCTTGCAGCTGAACAACTTCCTTTTCCGCTTCCATTGACAACTTCCATTTATTCAATCCATTTTTTTTTTATTTTCTGTGCTTTGCGAGAGACCCATAAACCTAAGTGTCTCCATAAAATGTTGTTGCAACACCTTACGCTCTTCAACCAACTTTTGCTCAAAATCAGCTCTAAGTTTTGCTTCTAATTCCAAAGAAAATTGCGCTAGTTGCTCTTGTACATCCATATGTTGTCGTTGACGTGAAAACGACCTTCTAAAGAAACTGCTAATTTTTTTTATTGAGAACTTTTTAGATCGGTTGGAATAAATGGCCTGATATAAAATCCTTTATAACAAAATTTCTTATTATTTACGAAACTGTCACTGCGTTATTTTTTACATCGGTGGGATAAATGACCTGATTTAAAATGTTTAATCCATTTTATTTATTTTTTTATTGAGAACTTTTTACATCAGTTAGGATAAATGACCCGATGTAAAATTCTTTATAACAAAATTTCTTATTATTTACGAAACTGCTACCACATTATTTTTTACATCATTGGAAATATATGTCTGATGTAAAATTCTTAAATCAAATATTCTTCACATTATATTGTTAATAAATCTGATATATAATTCTTTGACAAATATTTTTTACACCATATATCTTAAAATTTAATATAAAATTATTTAACCAAATATCTTATTTTTAATAGTATACAATACACATTTTTAATTAAATTGATTTTTCTCAGTTAAATTTTGACAGAAGTAGTCGGCTCCGGTAGAAAGTGGATTTTTTTATAGTACCTCAACACAATTTTTAAACTAGTCTCAATTATCATTTTAAGCTTTTAAAAAATGCATTAGAGAAACTCATTAGCAATTTCTTTTTTATTATCTTAATTACCACACACATAAATATTGAAACCTCTAAGGGTCTATTTGGTTGGGGGTAAATGGAGGGGAGGGGAGGAAATATTTAATAGTTTATGTGTTTGGTTCAAATTTTAAGAGGGGGAGGGGAGGTAGATGGAGGGGACCAAAATCCCTCCTGAACCATGTTTTGTTCCCCTCCAATTTGGAGGAATTTGGAGGGGAGGGAAGATATTTAATTTTAATTATAATTATATTTACATATTTAACCTTAATTATTTATTTAAATATCAATTTAATTTATTAAAATGTTAAAATTTCTATTTTGAATTATCTTCTTTTTATATTTTTTGTATTTTTTTATATGTTCATCTTATTATTATTATATGTGTTTAAATTTTTTTATTTTATTTTTTATACTTAAGTTAGTTTTTAATTATTCAAATATTTTTCTTTATAATAATATTTGTTAGATTTTATTATATTTGATAATCTTTTTTAATTATATATTATAACTCTTATGTTTTTATAAAAATTTTCATGATGTTCTGTGATTGAATCGTCAATGAATTTGCACTTGAATTATAAATGATAAATATCATGAGTTTTATGGTAAAATTATAAGGACAAAAAAATAAATTAATTTTAAAATACCTCCCATCCCCTTGTGAATCAAACATATTTGTAAATAAAATACTTCCCCTCCCTTCCCCTTTTATATTTTGAACCAAACAGATATGTAGTTAAAATCCCTCCCCTCCCCTCTCCTCCCTTTGATAGAACCAAAGAGACCCTAATACACAAATTCTCATATAAAAGCAATATAGACTATTCTCTCATTTGACTAACACGACACGTGTGTCCTAAATCTCATCCAGCTCCACACGTGTCCTATGTAAACTATAAGTCCATAATTAAAGCAACACAAAAAATAAACTCCAAAGTACATAGAAAAGAAATGTGAACAGCTTAAATTGATGATTGAATAAAATAAAATAAAATAAATTGAGATAGTGGGTTTATAGGTCATAGTCGACTTATAAGAGTTAAGAACACACTAGATGAATTTTGTATATATAAGTAGGTGATGGTGCTCTATCCTGACCTATTATTCTTCTCAATACTCTCTCTCAAAGTAACAACTCCCTTAGCCTCTCAAAAGAAAAATGGGAAGGCAACCTTGTTGTGAGAAAGTGGGATTGAAAAAAGGGCCATGGACTGCTGAGGAAGACAACAAGCTCATCACTTTCATCCTCACTAATGGTCAATGCTGCTGGAGGGCTGTCCCTAAATTGGCAGGTCTCCTTTCATTGCTCTTGCTTTTTCTTTCACTTTTACCATTCAAATTTTACATTACTACACACTAACCACGAGACTGTATGAACATTTGACTGCAATTATTGGTTATATATTACTGATAATTGCAGTCAGATGCGTGACATTAAATGCGTGACATTAAATGGATACGCATTACAAATATTTTTTCAAAACTATATATTTAATCCTTAATATGCAAGATTAATTCAACAATGCAGGGTTATTAAGGTGCGGAAAAAGTTGTAGACTTAGATGGACAAATTACTTGAGACCGGATTTAAAAAGAGGACTTTTATCAGAATATGAAGAAAAAATGGTCATTGATCTTCATGCTCAACTTGGGAACAGGTACAATTTTCCACTTTTACTAATCACTAATTAAATTGAATAAGGTGAACACAAAACTTTTTTAATAGTAACTTAATTGAATTAATTACTTTTATAATCATGCTCATCAAGTGGTAAATAGTTTAGTATTTCATAAAATTTGGAATAAAAACATGGTCCCACCTCTTAGCCTCTTACAACCAATGAGAAAAAGACGTATAAAATTTTTGTATAAATATTTTTCAATTTTTAAGAACTAACAAAGAAATATATATAATACTTACCATTGAAGTTAAAGTTGACTGAAAATGAACTATATAGAAAAGTAAAAAGAGGACAAATTTGTCTTGTAGACAATTTTTCTTTCTTAACTTAAATGACTTTGGAAGATGGAGCTTTTCAGTGCTTATAAAGTCATTCTCCCTTTTAAGTGATGCAACAATTATATATATATATATATATATATATATATATATATATATATATATATATATATATATATATATATATATATATATATATATATATATATATATATATATATATATATATATATATATATATATGATATTTCTTTATATATTTTATTTATTTGCTTTTTTTTTTTTTTCCAGATGGTCTAAGATTGCTTCTCATCTACCAGGAAGAACAGATAATGAGATAAAAAATCATTGGAACACTCACATAAAGAAAAAGCTCAAGAAAATGGGGGTTGACCCTATCACTCACAAACCACTAAATAGTACTACAATTATTCAAACTCAAAATCAACAACTACACCAACCGATAGAAGAAAAACAACAAAACCAACAACCTTTGACAATTGACAATGACACAAAGATTGAGAAGCAAGAGACTTCAATTGAGTCATCAAGTAACATTGAAATGAAAGAAAAATGTGAAACTACAATAACACCCTTATTTGACACAATGGAGTTAATTGATGGTTTTTGTATAGATGAGGTTCCAATGATAGAACCTAATGAGATTATAGTGTCTAATTCATCTTCATCAACCTCTTCATCATCTACATCAAATTCAACCAATTTTCTTGAAGATCTCCAACTCCCTGATTTTTGGGATGATGACTTTATTAGTAGCTTGAATTTTCTGATTAATGATGATAATAATGGTGAAAGCAAGCAAGCATTTGATGAGATGATTGTGGATTCAGAATCTTGGGCATATATGTAGATTGTTTTGATTTTAATTTTTCTTCATTTTACTTGTAATTTTCTTTGAAGTTTTTTTTTTGAAAAAGCTAAAAAATGTTTGTTTCTTGAGTATTTATAGAGAATAAACAATGAATGATTAATTAGGAAAAGCACAAAAATGTTTAGCATTATTTTTCACCAAATTCTAGCTTGTTATGTAAAGTTATATATAAGTAAAGATAATGGAAATGTTTATTGGCAACTTTTGAAAGTCACTTTCAATTTTAGTTAATATAAGTTGAGTTGGTAGCATAGAATGTGAGATGATTAATCATGAATGTATTTTTAGTGGAGTGATCAAACTGAGTTTGATGCATTTGGTTCAAATATCATTAATTTGGTGAGAGGTGTGAGACATCTATGACGTTTTAATAAATATTGATAAATATTAAAATTACTTATTTCATTTGAGTTTTTAATGGGTTGAATAATTTGATTTTTGTCCATCTTTAGAGTAGAGGTTTGCGTTTTGAAAGTGTGCTCATTTTAAGGTTGAATAACTTGATTTTTGTCCATCTTTAGAGTAGAGGTTTGCGTTTTGAAAATGTGCTCATTTTAAGGTCTCGAGTTAGAATTGTATTAAGTGTAATAAATTTTTGTGTGAGTCAGTCCATACAAAAGTTTTGCTTTAGTTTTAAACAAAATTCCTGTAAGTGAATGATGGGATATTAGTCCCTCTTAAATTAGATGGCCATAAGGTCGGATACTAAAATTAAAAAAAAAAACTTTTTTTATCAAACATAATCACTAACTTACTTTTAACATTTATCCCATTAAAAGAAAAAAAAACTTGATTTTAGAAGAAATAAATAATTAGTTAGCATTTAATAAAAATCACTTTATTTATTTATACAAAATTGCCATTTAAAATTCAAGTTTGTTACAAGATGGTTTGTTTTTATTACAAGTTATTTAAGATTTCGTTGACTTTGTCAAACTCGTATATAAAATGTATCACATATTTAATATAATTAATATTTGCTCATGGGATCTGATCTAATTTGTCGATCAGAATAGGTAGGTCAAGATGGTTTGTTTTTATTACAAGTTATTTAAGATTTTGTTGACTTTGTCAAACTCGTATATAAAATGTATCACATATTTAATATAATTAATATTTGCTTATGGGATCTAATCTAATTTGTCGATCAGAATAGGTAGGTGGCCGACAACACGTCAGTGAACTTGAACGGTTAGCGAAAAAGGGGGGGGGGGGTATATGCAAAAACTCCGATGTTTAAGTTAGTTCGAGTGAAGAGATGAGTAAGAAAATGGTAAGAATATAATACCTGACTAGTTTTTATAGTGAGCCCCCAGCGCTGCGCCAATGGTCTCCATTATGGGCAGAGTGTCCAGGCCCACGACGGATGACTGCCAAGACTTCCACGTGAGAGTAGGGATGACCAGCTCGTTCTCATCTTCCTGGGTCAACTGTCCCGCATTCCCCGTTTAGCGGATGGACTTGCCCGTTACGAAGGGCATAATGGTTCCACGAGGTGTGCAGGTCAGTTGGCGACATGTCCTCGGGTGAGGGGCATGTGGATCGAATTGTTCTCTACTGACCATGGCGGGTTTGGCCAACACTACAGGCCGTCCTCGACGTAGGACTGGATTGGACTGTGCTCGACGATGGGTTAGCCACATGCCCATTCCAAAACAGGAGCCCTCCAAGTCGTTTCCCCCAGACATGGGGTTAATGACTTAGATTCAGTCCATGTGTCGAGGAGAGGAAATTGACTCTGCACGAGGAGAGCGTTCATTTGGGGTCTGCGATTGTGAGTTTGCGCAGTTGTGGATGTTGTTCGCGAGTTCGCGCCCGCGGGAACGACTCTTTGCTCGCGACTCGTGGAATTTCATTTTCTATGAAGATGTGTCACGTAGAGACTGTGGTCGAGAGCTTAACACGTGCTTGCGTTGAGCGTTTAACTTTACCCACAAGTTGTCAAACTGCTCGTAAATCTACTCCAATTTTTCGCTGGGGTCATGCTCGCGAATGAATGCGAAAGTTCGCTGCCTGTGTCTGACAAGGGGTGCTCGACAGGATTTGAAAGGACAACATTCCACCTTTTCGAGGCAACGATCGACGAGACCTTAAGAGACAACATTTCGTCTCCTCGAGACAACAGTCAATAGAACTTAAAGATAGAACGTTTCGTCTCCTCGAGCCGTGTGTCAGAGTTATTTAATACATAATTATGGTTTATGATTAGGGGTACTCATGAGCTAGGCGGCGATGCATATACCTATGCTCTAGATTTGGTTTATAAATAGGAAAGAATGGGGGACCATTTGCACATTTCGCACTCACTATTCTCTCTACTTTCCTTTGAGCTTCAAAGCATTTCTCCTCCGTTTTCCGTCGTTGCCGCCACCGTCACTAACTTTCTTTGGATCAGCTTCATCTCCTCTTCAAATCAAGTAAGCTTTCTGCTTTCTTCATCTAATCTTCAGTTTGCAGTGAATGCTTGTTTTAGAATGTAGGTTGTTTTTAGAATGCATGCCTTTTCTCTACGTTGGGTTCTGGTGGGTGTTGGTGTTTGGTGGTGGTTTGGCCATTTCCAAACACCAACGCTAGGAGATTTTATGCTAGAATAGCCTGGTTTCGAGTAGAAAACCAATCTGGCGCCACCGTTCAGACGGTGAATAGGGCTTTCACCGATGGAGCTTATGAAGTTTTTTGATGAGGCTCATGAGTTTTCGATGAAGCTTCATGTGTCGAGGAGGCTCTTCCTCACAAAGCTCATGAGTTTCTGACAAATCTTCATGTGTTGAGGAGGCGCTTCCTTATAAAGTCCATGAATTTTATGATGAATATCCGTGTATTTCCTGATGAATCCTCGCGTCGAGGAGGATTTTCCTCGTGAAGCTCGTGAATCTTATGACGAATGTCCGCTTATTTTTTGATGAATCCTCGCGTCGAGGAGGATTTTCCTCGCAAATATCGCGAATCTAAGGAAACTAGTCACCCATTTTGCAGCGAATTATAATAAAATAGGTAAGGAGAAAGATCAAAGGTGTTACAATTGAAGTGACGAGCTCCAACAACGGTGAATCATTAACCTCATACCTTCAGCCTACAAAATGACATCTCTCTCTCTCTCTCTCTCTCTCTCTCTCTCTCTCTCTCTCTCTCTCTCTCTCTCTCTCTCTCTCTCTCTCTCTCTCTCTCTCTCTCTCTCTCTCTCTCTCTCAAATTTAGAACCCTAACAACTAATTTTGTTTTCTAATATAAAGGAAAATTGTTTATCCATGTAAAAGTACCACAATTCATTACTAGTGTATCACGTTTTTTCACTTTTGCTGAAGTTGCTTCCGTAACTTTCCCTAACACGTCACACTGTTGTACATGGTGTGACGTATTTCTCATCAACTTAATAGGAAATTCAGCCTCGTGAAATTTGTAGAATTCTTCAGTTTTATTCTCTTTTTTCAAATATCATGTTAAATTCTTGTTCATTCTTCTAACTATGATGTAAACCTCGTTGATTTTTTTTTTGGTTAGAGCGATTTTGACATTGATCCAACTTTTCCAAGAAGCTTTATAATCTGATTAAAAATCTATAAAAACACAAATTATTAGAAGAAAAATAATTAAACTAATGTAATGATTGAGTGTCATCACATAGCCAAAAAACAATTTCCATGTCGCTTGCTCAACAACCTATTGGCCTTATGTAAAATGACCTCAACACCAATGGATACCTCAACCCAAAATGGGAAGTCATTAAGATATTATGCCACACATTTATTGACTCTTTTCAATTCAAACTTGGATACAATATGCCTCCAAATAGATCATACACCAATATGGTGTATCCCACCATTAGGCTTTAATGATGGCAGCAAGAATGTGGAAGCAATAATCTCTACCAAACTCTTGGATATCATCCTCTTAGCTATAAGGTAACAACTAGAGTTATAAGAGATAAAATATCGGCCGTCATAATAAAAACTACTCTACATAGTGTGTCTAATATGTATTGGACTCATAAACCATCTCTACTGCATGATGTGCTTTGAGGAACAATTTATTTCATCTAAGTATAATGTTTGCTTTAGCCATAAAGGGAGCTTGAAAGAATAAGTTGGTCGAGATGAAGGGAGTTGGAATGTATGGGTTTTTATCATTTACAACCTTCATTGTATCTCCATTATATGTGGCTACTCTAGAAGACCTAGACACATTCATCGTCGATGTAAAGTGGCCATCCAGAACCTTTGAAAGGTATTGCTTGATGTTAGTGTTCATGTTTTTATCCTTATCCTCAATATAAACTCTTAAATGACCCAAATCATCTTTCCTAGAGTTTCCTAACACACTATCAATAAACTTGGCAAGGCGATATACATCTCTCCAAGTCTCCAAGCACCCCTAAAATGTGATGTTATTATAAAGACTTGTAATTCCCATATTTATGATCCAACCTGCTTTGAGGCTTAAAACTTTTACTTCTTCATGGAACCTTTTCAAAGGAATAACGCATTTTCAAGCACCTATACACCATCATTTAGAAATCATCCAAATTTAAAATGGAGTGATAATCGTGTTCAAGGATCCAATTAAAGGTAGCAATATCAAAATATATATCATAACTAGAATATGATACCATAACAACAACAATATTAAAATTCAATATCAACATCACTCAAATCAAAAGCATCATTCACAAAAATACTATCAACCACCACATCAAAGACATCCACAAAGGTACCAAAATGATAACGAACCACAATAGCTCAAAGAGCACAATCACCAACTTAATCAAGGGAGGAACATTCTCATGTGGAAGATACTTTCGATCAAATCATGCAAACATTGATACATAATTTCACAATTTACGGGTCGATCAAGAGATGAGTTACAAGAACACTGAAGAATATATCATAAACTTAAAGAAAAAAATTGGGCCCCTCTCAAATAGTTGGCAACTAATCCTACCAACAATTATGAAGGAAATACAATTGACAATTCCATGAATA